TTGGTTTTACGATCAACTAGTGCCAGTAATACTTCTTGAAAAAATGCCTTTGTTACATACTTATTGAAGTCAAATTCACCATCTTTGTTAAATTCTTTGAGAAATATGAACTTTGCAAAAGCAAACCCGTGAGTTACAAGATCATTTACGCTGCAGACAAATTCATTTAGGGTGGCCCTGTAGTTCTCCTTCCAGCCTATACCATTTAACGATGTTTTGATTGTAGTTATACGCCGATATTCTGACTGGGAAAATGTTGTATTGTTGGACTACATTTTAGATAAGTATCATATGAGTATTTTCACAACCGATTTACCTGTTCTGCTTCTACAGACATAGTCAGATTATATATCAAAGTAAACGCTTGAATAGAGTAGATCAATTTTTATGGACTATAGCTTGTTTATGGATGCAACTGTTTGAAAGTAAAAAGAAAAAACAGACATAGATTGTAGGGTAGATAAAAAGAAATATAAAGAGAAGTGTTGTCAGCAAATATATCAACACTGTGATAGGAATGGCCATTTAATTTATTCAAATATATCATCTAAATGTGCTAAACCAATTTGAAAAGGTAGGAATAACTTTATTATATACAAGTATTAACATTTAGAGATTTCACCAGTCTTAAGGCTGAAGACACTATTGCTTATGAGGAAACAGGTAAAAGGGGCCTGTTGCTTGAATCTAGGCTTAAGAAATAGCTCCAGTTTAGTCAAAAAGAGACACTCTTGTACCTCATCTTGTCCAAAAAAGGTAATCAGAGTGTCTAAAAATTACTTTTGATTCGTCCAGAAAAAAATAACACCGTCTAGTTTTAGGGTAAAAACCGGTATCTAGATCAGTGCGCATAAGCACGGGTCGGCCACTCAATATTTTGTTGTACGAAGCTCTACAGCCAACGTCGTTCCTGGGCATTTATTTATTCTTTTTCTTTTTGGTGATTCCAAACCAACTTATCTCTAATGGTGACCACTTTAAAAGTAACAAAAGGTGTTCACCCCGTTGAACTAACCTGTGATGAGCAAGGACTTCGTATCGAAGGCGATTTTAACGCATATCAAAAATGTAACTTGACTATATATAACATCTCATCAGCTTGCTTATTCTCTCTCAAAAGTGAAAAAGAAGATTATATGCTGTTGTATACCCGTTATTCAAGGAAAAGGACCAGACCCAACCTTACTTCCAATAGATCATGAGTACATTCTTTATGCCGAGTACATTCAACGCACCAAGACCATTCAGATCCGTTTTGTATTGCCAGAGGATAGAAGTAACGATGATTCAACAGCTGATTTCTATGAGCTATATTATACTGTGTCTGATGATAAAGCACAAGAAGCTGAAGCATTCTGTGAGACATTGATGGACCATGCTTATGAAGGTGCAAAAGTTCATAAGCGACTCTTGGTGTTGATCAACCCATTTGGAGGACAAGGCAAAGCCAAGGAAATATTCGAGTACCATGTTCGTCCTATATTTCAAGCCGCCAAGTGTGAAGTTACCGTCAAGAGTAGATAACAATGATCTGATGCGGCGCATAATGACTGTATGATTATCTTTTCATACAAATTGTTTGCATGCTACGATTTGTAAGTTTAGACTTTCTTATACCCCTAGAGTAGGAGAGCATCAACTATTTACGGTAAACCTTGATGCCTAACAAGACTGATAAGTTCATTTTTTAGCTCCTTTTAGTTGCTCTAGCGCGACCGGCTTGCATAAGTATAAACCTGCAATGGTCATGATGAGGACTGATAGACTAGACTGCTTTGTTTTCTCCTGAATTATGTCCCACTTTAAATGCTATGATCTGTAGATTATGCTTTATTACATAAAGCAAGACTATAACTGCAATAACTTTTATGCATCATGGACAATAGGACGAGATAGCTTAGGATGACGCAAGTCATAAACGAAGCATTTATTTGAGAGCGTTATACGAAACGACTCTACGTATTTTCCGATTAGCAGATTGACAGCAAGCTTTTTTTTTTTTTTTTACACAGCTTAGTTAAAAAAATAAGAAAAATAAAAAGGAGAGTGGAAAGAGCTCGTAGATGCCAATATAGATCATAAATGAGATGACTCATTGAATGAAAATAAGACATACTTGATCACTCACACAAAAAGATAAACAGCAACTCTAAACCCATCTTTTTTTTTTTTTGCAAAATAACCCGGGTGCCACCGGTATACATCAGAAAAAGGGAAATGCATGAAAAAATCACCAATTCTACAGAAAGTAAACACACGAAAAGCAAATGTGAGGTGGCGCAAATGTGTTACATACGGTCGTACAAAGAAATAGGGCGTACTAAACTTGAATCGCTGGGAAACGTCCAACTTTTTGCTTTATTCATGATACCGCCAAAATATTGCTGTAATATCTACTGTGATCATAGTAACGAAATACCATGAGTATCATGGATAGTATTATTATGGTAACGAACATTTAGATCACTTACATTATCTTAGAATATACTCATTTTTTTGCATGAAGAGTTTCTTTCTCCCCCACCACCCGACTTGATATTTCAATCCCCGTCCTGGCTTAAGCTCGATTCTAAGAAGAAAAAAAAAAGATAAGGAAAAATAGTAAGGTCATTCATGTTGATTTGTGTTGGAGAAGAGGCTTTGATTATCTTTTTATTCTGCATTTAAAGAGAAGGAAAAAAAAGTGAGAAAAAAAGAAAAGGTAGTTTGAAACGGATTATAGTTTTATTTGTTGTACAATGTTATAAACTTGGTTTATTTTATCCCCTGAAATCGCATATAAAAAAAGAGCAAAAAAAAGCTGGCATTTTCCTTTTCTTTTCTTCCCCCTTACTTGAATACGAATGAACACGATGCAACAATCAAAAGAGTGGCAGCATCAGCATCAACAGCAACAACAGCCATTGCCTATGACCCAGCAAACTCCGATGGAGAGCACAAAGCCTGGTCCGTCTTCTTCCCCCAAGTCTGAATCTGATCACTATGGATACTTGTAAGTTACCATGGACACATAATAAATAGAAAGAAGGCTAACTTATTTTATTAGACGTCAATTAAACAATAATTCATCCAATCGTTATGAGTAAAATATGATAAGGATGCCGCAGTAATTGCTTTACTGAATTATAAATATAGACAAACCATCATGGCTCGCTCTCAGCCTTCAACACCTCATCCTTATCCAATGACTCAGATGATAAAAAGCACTAGATCTCATTTCAATACACAAGAGTGCAGTCCAAGATTCTTACCCACAAAATCAATGGCAAACTTGTTATTATCAGATAAATCCACATTGTAATATAAAAAAAGAGTTAAAATCACAGGTCCTAATCATCTTTTTAGATCTCCCATCCAGATACAAGCCAAGATGGATCGCGGCTTTTTCTTGGCTGATGATGAATGGACCTGCTATCGACGAAACTATTTCCAAGTCAGTGCAGTCTTTTCACTCGCTTCTTATCCAGAGGTATACTATGTTCAAACTCATCGTGGTCCACAGTATGTTCAGCGTTTCTTGATCGGTCTTTCTGCCCGTGTGGCCAACAGTGATCGTGATATAGAGCTCGTACAGCAAACTCCAAAACGCGACAAAGGCCCTCAATATAACCCGACGCCCAAACCCGTTGTTCCTGGCGGCTACCTATCTTCAGGCAATTCACAACACGAAGCTCATCCTCAACAAACCATTGCTACCTTTGAGCGACTTCAATTCAAATCGGCAACCGCTAATAACGGCAAGCGAAGAGCAGCACAGCAATACTTTGTATGCGTTGTCAGTCTATACGCTGAAACAAAGGACCAGCAAGAACTGATTCAGATAGCCAGTTGTCAGTCTGTGCCCTTGGTCGTACGAGGCAGAAGTCCTGGACATTATGCGGACACAGCCAAAACATCGTCATCTCCTGTAACGCCTGTCATGCAAGTGAACGACAGCTACTACTACTATCATCCAGTACCCTATTATCCATGCGAGGAATCACCCTCGACTACAAAATTGCCTTATGAACCATATGATTGGCAAAGGGCTAGATATAATAGCACTTCTTCTTCTGGATCTTCTTCAGTTACTTCTCCTCATCAACCATCCCAGGAATCTTATTTTCCTGCTCCACCTCATCCTCTTGCTAACGTAAAGCAAGAATAAGTAAAAGTGTAAAACAAAAAGTTTGTGTTTTTATTATATATTATTGCCCTGTTTGTGTGTTATAATTAAATGCTATGCTACAAAATTATTATTATTACTATTGTCATTATGTACAGTGTCTGTTGTTGTTGTTGTTATTGTTGTATTAGATGTAGTTGTGTCCATAAAGTTCTTTTCAATCATGTCTTTGACTTGATCAAGAAATGCTGTTTCTTGTTCTTCATGAATAAATAAATGAGCCCTTAGCGAATACAGCAGTTTCTCCAATCTTGTCGAGTCCCCAAACGATGATGCCATGTCCATTTTACTATTCATAGTCATTTCATTATTCACATGAAAAAAATAAATAAATAACTTACTGTTCATAATCTTTGTACTCTTGAATGAGCTCCTCAAATTGATCAAGAATGGAAGGCGATACTTGTTCACACTGCTCTACTCGTCTACGACAAGCATAAGGTACCCCTACAACAGATGTCAAAATGATTATTGCACAACAGACACGACTTACTGTAAGAGTGAGTTTCATTCCACTGTGTACTGATGTGCAAGTATTGAAACTGAGAGTGATCGCTTTGTATCTCTGCGTTATAAGGTGTGACGATGACACCAATAAATGGTTCATCACCTGCTTCTCTAAACAGCGTCTGTCCTTATTTTTAGCAAGAGATCAACAGTGTAACGAAGCTTATTTTGTTGTGTACCTGATAAGACGTTTGATTCTCTATATCTCTTATACTCGGATGAGGTTCGAAAGTAGGATGTGAATGATACCAGCCGACGACGTTATATCCTTGTTCTGCAAACACTTCACGTGCTTTCATTTCAGATTCAGGATCCATTTCACATTGTATGCCTGTGCTTGTACTCTTGCAAGGGAAGACGCTCTTGACCTGTAATATCTTGGTATTTTCCTTTTTAATAAAGTTACCACCTAATAAGCCAATGATTTCCGTATGAGCCAGATGAGCATGAAAATCCATGACGAGCTACAAATATGAAAATGTCAATACATGTCACTTTGAAGCATATGTATATATCACACCGTACCAGGGCCTCACTAACAATCTCTACTTCAAAGGGCGCTGGAAACAATTCATTATAATGGGATGTAGGTACAAGTCTAAAGGGATCATAACCTCTATTAAAATCATCACCGCCATAATAATGCTGATGAAACGATCTTTTTACTCTTTTTGACTTTGTGCCTGTTCAATCATGTTATATATATATATATATATATACTTCGACAAGATACCAATCGTTTACCATTACTGTCTGTCTCTACTTGAACGCCATGTTCAATCACTCGTCCTTCCAATTCTCTCGGATCCACCCATTCTCCACGCTCATTTCTTACTTTTCTTTTTCTTGGTCTTTATAATAAAGTGAGTCATTAGATAAACGGATTGCTAATTATTTACCCATCATAATTTATAACAAGATCAGCAGCATCTAATGTATCCTCTTCGACAATGACTTCACGTGGCACACGCCTAGGAGGTCTAGGTGCATTTGTGATACAGTCCACGTTTATTGCACCCACGCTTTCTAAATAAGAATGAACTCGACCGATAGCATTGACATCACCGCAGTCCTTGAGTCCTTTTCGAGCAGAGGTCTTGGTCAAGTACCTTGGCTTGCACTGGTTCCAACAATCGAGCATATGATTACGAATACGTAAATAACGGTCGGGTGTCTTGGCATGCTTATTTTGAAACCACTCTGGGTTCTGTTTCTTCTCTTCTTCAGATACGAAATGTCTGTCAAAATGGGAAATGCTCACATGGGTATCATTATCGGGTATATCTATTTCCCTCTCTAACGTATCAAGCTTGATCTCTTTTCCATCTTGCTCAGCTGTAACCTCTTCCTCCTCCTCCTCCCCCTTCATGTCATCATTCTGCATGAGTGTAATATCATCGAGTTGTTTGTCGTTATTATCTTGAACAAGGTCTCCAATGTCGAGATCATCATCACCATCTTCGTTCACTGTGGCAGTATCCATGGTTACGTCTGCTGTGGTTGTACCAACTGTGTTTGTAGAATTCACAGGCAAGGTTGTATCTGATGTATTATCAGCATCATCAGCAGTAATCATCTCGGTCTCTGATTCTGTGTTTGTTTGTTTAGAGATTTCTTTAGATTCTTCCCTTTTTTGTTTACTTGGCGTCTATTAGCCGTGTGTATTAATAACAAATTACGACATGGATTGAATAGACTTGCCTTAATCTTGTCTACCAAGAGTAAATGTCTTGCATGATTTTTACATTGTAAACGGTTTCTTGTTCCTACATGTTCTGCGATTGGCTTCCAATTGCCATATCCAAATATATCTAATGCCTCTTTCAATCTATCATCTTCTTCCTTATTCCATCTAGTTTTGTGAGAGGGTAGTGCAGCAGATGATATATCTAATAATGGAAGATTGAGTGAATATGATAGAGACCTTTTTTTTAAAGTCTAACCTTTTGTCTTTTTAGGATAGTCTGAATCGTAATTTTTTGTTGTCTTATTAAAGAAATAGTATTCTTCCTCAGCAAGCATTTGTTCGATCAATTGGCGTGAATCTTTATCCATATCTTGATCTTCTATCATCATGGTTGGTTGACTACTACCGTTACTATTGCCACTACTATTATTACATAAGTCATCAGTTCATAAACACGCGCATGTCTCTCTCTTGCTCTATTTTTATGTCTTTATATTATTGTTTGAGATACTTACTCTATTAACTCTTGCTTTTCATCTTCGCCAATATCAATAATCTCTTCCTCTTCTTCATGCATTGAGTAATGAACAAAAAAATTTTTTTCCGTGCTGTGTGTGTGTGTGTGCGTACTTAATATCATAATAAAACGAGAAATTTAAACTCATACTGGAGTGTTTTTATTGGCTAATGTAATGTATATGCTATTGAAGGACACTGTTTTGTTATTTTTACATTGTAACATCAAAGTATCTCCTTTGTTGCTAGATGACATTAGTGGAGAGATCTTTGGCAAGCAATCTATCTTTAAAGCAATACTAGGAGCACGCGTAAATGCTCTTGCAAAATATAAAAAGCTGTCTGTGTGACTTTAAATTTCTGTTATGAAATCTGTCTTTAGCTTAAACTAAATCAAATATATCTAGCCAAAAAATAATTTACATAGATCTACTCCTATAGACAAGCTGCTCATGTCTTTCTAGCCCACTTTCATCTTACACTCTAACAAAACAAAAACCAGAGTGACTGCTTATCGATACCACTCTTCTACTGTCTCTCCTTCTTCAACTCCGATTCAGTGCTGTGTACACCATATGCATAAGTGTTTCAATATTATTAAACATGAAAGTAGTGCAGATCATCCAGTGAAACCTTAGCTTGTGTTCTGTATATGTACTGTTAATTGTATACAAGGTTGAATGTAAGCAAGTGCTTAGTTTTGTAGCACTTGTTGTATGATATCATGTGTGAGAATACAAGAGAAACCAAGTGATTAATTTCCTATTTATGTGCAAAATGTTCTCTTTTTGTCCATTGGTCGCAACACTTGTTTCTTTTAACCGTGGATCCGTTTCATATCTCTTTTTCTCTCTCTCTTTTTTTTCGTTCTTTTTCTTTTTCTGTAAAACAAGATGGCAGAAGATAGGGAAGTGAATGTAGAAAAGCATGCACCGAATCAAGAATTGCCTGCAATTCAGCAATTGACTGTAGAAGAACTGTATGATAAAGACAAGTACGATCTGTCTACAATGGAACCTGGTGACGTTTTTGTTCTCTTGCAGTAAGTTGATCTTCATTTTCCTTAAAGGAAATCTAATGCACTTTTAGAACTTCAACAGATGGTCTGTCATCAGAAGAGGCGGCTCGCCGTGTCGAAAAGTTTGGTTACAATCGATTGGAACACAAAGAGATCAATCCTATCCTCCAATTCCTTGGCTTCATGTGGAACCCACTCTCTTGGGTAATGGAAGCAGCTGCTATCGTGGCTATTGCTGTCTCAAACGGAGGAGGCAGGCCGCCAGACTGGGAAGATTTTATCGGTATCGTTCTCTTGTTGCTCGCTAATTCAGTCATTGGTTTCTTGGAAGAACGACAGGCGGGTAATGCTGTCAAAGCTCTCATGGAGTCCTTGGCCCCCGAATGCAAGGTCAAACGAGATGGTGAGTGGAAAACGCTGGAAGCAGCCGAACTGGTACCTGGTGATATTATCAGTATCAAGCTGGGTGATGTGGTCCCTGCCGATGGCCGTTTAGTGTCTGCTCATGGTGCGGTCTCAATCGACCAGGCTGCGCTCACAGGCGAATCATTGCCCGTAGGCAAGGAGGCCGGTGACGAAATCTTTTCTGGTTCCACTGTCAAACAAGGTGAAGCCGAGGCGGTCGTGATTGGTACAGGTCTGAACACTTTCTTTGGTCGTGCTGCTAAGCTGGTTGGTGATGCAGGCGATGAAACTGGGCACTTGCAAAGCATCCTGGCCAAGATTGGTAACTTTTGTCTCTGCAGTATTGGTCTTTTTGTGGTCCTTGAAATCCTTGTGATGTATCCTCGTTATCACTATGCTTATCGTGATGGTATCGATAACATCTTGGTTCTCTTGATCGGTGGTATTCCTATTGCCATGCCTACCGTTCTCTCGGTCACATTGGCTATCGGTGCTAAGCAGTTGGCCGAACACAAAGCCATTGTCACTCGTATCACAGCTATTGAAGAAATGGCAGCCGTGACAATCCTCTGTTCTGACAAGACCGGTACACTCACACTCAATAAATTAATTGTTGACAAGCCCACCATCAAGACCTACGCTGAATTTGATGCTGATGCTATCCTACAGATCTCTGCTTATGCCTCTCGCACAGAGAATCAAGATGCTATCGATTTCTGCATCGTCAATTCTCTTGCTGAACCCAAGATGGCACGCCAAGGCATCGAAGAACTTGCTTTCGAACCCTTCAATCCGACCATCAAGCGTACTGAAATTACCTATCGTAAGGATGGCAAGGTTTACCGCGCAACCAAGGGTATGTCCCATTTCATTCTGGATCTTTGCACACGTGACAAGACAGAAGAACAAATTCAAGCCTTGAACGATGACGTAGATGAATTTGCTCGTCGTGGTCTACGTGCTCTTGCTGTAGCTATTGAAGACGATATTCAAGGGCAAGACGTGGACGCCCAAGGCTCTGGATTCCGTCTGATTGGCTTACTTCCTATTTACGACCCACCTCGTTCTGATACAAAAGAAACCATTGACCGTGCGATTGCCCTAGGTGTACAAGTCAAAATGATCACTGGTGACCAGCTAGCCATTGCCAAGGAAACAGGTCGTCGATTGGGTATGGGTGACAACATGTATCTCTCTAAGACGCTCAAGGATGGCCCTCCAGCAGGATCAGGATACAGTACTGTCGACGAACTTGTTCTTCACGCTGACGGCTTTGCAGGTGTCTACCCCGAACACAAGTACGAGATTGTCCAACGCTTGCAAGCCATGGGTCATATGACAGCCATGACAGGTGACGGTGTGAATGATGCACCTGCCCTTTCCAAGTCTAACGTGGGTATCGCTGTTGCCGATGCCTCCGACGCTGCACGCTCTGCTGCCGACATTGTTCTAACCGAACCTGGTCTCTCTGTGATCATTGAGGCCTTGATCCACTCACGTCAGATCTTTCAACGTATGCGTAACTACTCAATCTATACTTGCTCAGTTACCATTCGTGTGGTTGTCGGATTTGCTATTATGGTCTTTGCCTTCCAATTCAACTTTCCACCTTTCATGGTTTTGATCTTGGCCATTCTGAACGACGGTACGATCATGACCATCTCCACTGACCGTGTACGTCCATCGCCTCATCCAGATCAATGGAACCTATTTGAAATCTTTTGCTACGCCATCGTGTACGGCCTCTATCTCGCAGCCTCAACCATTGCCTTTTATGCTGTCGCCTTCAAGACTTCCTTCTTCCAGACTCATTTTGGCCGCCAAACCTTCACCGATGCCAATGATGGTGTGCTTCACTCAGTCATCTACCTTCAAGTGTCCACCATCTCTCAGGGCCTCATCTTTGTCACTCGATCCCAAGGCTGGTTTTTCCTTGAGCGACCCTCAGTCTTGCTCATGTGTGCCTTTGTCGTTGCTCAACTCGTGGCCACCTTTATCTCCGTCTATGCCAACTGGGGATTCACTCATCTCAGCGGATGTGGATGGGAATGGGCAGGTATTGCCTGGGTTTGGAACTTTGTTTGGTTTGCTCCTTTGGACTTGATTAAGTTTGCTATGCAGCGCGTATTCAAGCCCAAGCCCGTGGCTCCTTTGGAAGCTGGCAAACAGCCATCCAGAAGATCCTCTGGTGCTTCTGGTTCAGCGCGATACTACGCTAATCGTACTCAATCACTTCGCGCACTTTCTCGACCAAGAAATTTCGGACAACGTCTACTTGGGCTTAACAAGAAGATGTCTATGGAACCGAATGAAATGCGTCGATTCTCATCTGCACAGGTAAAAAAAAAATTTTTTTTGTTTGTATGTAGTATTAACGTCGTCTTAGACAAACCACGCTGCTCAAATCCTTAGTGGTCAACAACAGCAACAACAGCCACAGCAGCCACAACACTAGAGCATATATATATATATATTTCATGAAATAAACTAATAAAACTGTCTTTAATTTATCTTAAACTGTCCTACAAACAAACAAATAATGCAACATAAACCCCCTTTTTTGTCCTGCTTTGTGTTACACTTGTAGAAATAGTAATGCGCTAAGGCATTATTACAAAATCGAATGATTTTTGGGTTTAAATGAAGAGAGAGAGGGGCTTAAATGTTTATTAGTAAAAAAAAAAAAAATAAAAAGTCTATAATAAAAAGTGGGGGCTCTATACAACAATTATACATGATCATAAAAGAGAAAAGGTAAAAGGAAAGGATCGGGTCTAAAGAAAAAAAAAAGATCATCTTATAATAATGAATCATACCATAAATATATATAAAAAACAAGGTGATTCTTTAAACTTGATGTATTATCGAAGAGAAGGAAGGGCTCTTGGCAAGTTTCACACCTTGACTATTGTTGCAAAAAGATAATGACTTGAAAGATGTCGTCAAGCTGGCTCTTCTCTTGGGCGGTGGAGATAATTTAAAATCTTGATCGTATGTCATTAGTTGTTCTTCCACTGGAGGTTCTCTCTTGGCAGGACTACTGGAGGAAGGTCGAGGAGAACTTGGTTCTTGATCAAACAGTGTGATATCTTCACCGCCATAAGTAAAATGTTCAAAGAGTAAGCCTTCAAGTGACCTCAGCTGGTGTTGCTTTTCATCTTCTTGCACTGAGCTCAAACTTTCGGGACTTGTCGGTCGCGAGTACCTGAGTGAGCTATCACTTGTACCTCGACTCAATCGAGATCTGTAGTCAACAGACATCTGATGTGAGCTATTGCTGTGTCGCAGTAGACTACTACTTATGCTATTATTCACACCAGGACGTGGTGATGACGACAATCCAGAGCAACGTGGGGCAACGGAATTGTAAAATGTTCGTGATACGTTGTACTGGGATCTGGCACGAGCATGCTGTAACGGATGCTTTTGCGGTAAATCAAGTTTACGAGGGAATTTGCCAAGGACCTGTGACGAGTTGATCGAACCTTGTCCTTGAACGATACGCAAGAATTGTTGTTCATCAAAATACTTTAGAGCAGCCCATGAAGGATTGAGGAAAGAAAACTTTTTCTTGATCATGTTTAAATTTTCTATATAAAGAAGTTGGTCCTTTTGTCTCTTTTTTTCTAATAATACTTACGTTTTCCAATACCGCCATGCTCTAGCATACCATGCAAGGGCTTTTCAGGTGCAGGTAAAGTGCCCTTTGTGCCTTGCTTTAAAGGAGTCTTACCCTTGACAAGACGACAGATATTACGTGCAATGCACACACCGGAGATAGTCGCCGCATAACCTGTCTTTTCTTCAACTACGTTTGTCACATCACCACCTGCAAAGATATGCTCATACTTCCAATGATCAATCTGAAGCGTGGGTTTCACGCGAATACGGCCCCAGGTGTCCAAACAGTCATCAAGAGAACTGTCAATCGTACTGCTCGCGAATAAGGCCGTATTGGGACGTGTACCTGTCGCAAAAAACACCTTGTCGTACCCACTGTAGATACGTCCGCTTGATCCCAAGTAGACATTGTCACCCGTCGAGTCAAAGTCAATGATCTTTTCATTGCATACAACTTCCACACCAAGTTCTTCAAGGTACTTGCGTGCCATATTCTGTTGACGTGGGTCGCTACGGTTGACCACATTAGAATGGGAATCTATAAGGGTAACATGCTTTTTGGGGTAAGCGCCAGGGAAGGTCTGTTGGGATATCTCGGAAGCTAATTCACAGCCAACAAGCCCGCCGCCTAAATAAACAAATAATAAGAAAGGTGTAACAAACAGAGAGAGAGAGAGTTTTGGGTTTTTTACCGATGATGAGCACGCGGCGTGCCTTGAGTAGCTCAAGATAGGATTCTTCCAAGCCCGACATACGATAGAGAGAGGAGGTATCTGAAGATTTAAGCTGAGATGAATAAGAGCTTCCTGTGGCAATAACGAGATAGTCAAAAGTAATCTAATTATAATTCAATTAAACACATGAGAACACACATATGTATTTTTAATAATTACCAATTCATTATTCACTTTGACGCTCTTTCCATCATCACAGAGTTCTTCTGCATATCCAATGATCACTCGACCATTCTTGACATAGGCGTCATGTCGCACTCGAAGTGAGCTACTTTGGTCTGGATTGACAATCTTTTTGACAATACCAGGGGTGTATTCAAATGAATCTATATGATGGTTAATAATAGCCGAGAAAGTATTCCCATTTACCTTTTGTATCAATTAACGTCACATAAAAACGTGGCATCTGATCTAAAATTGAAGCGACAGTAAAGCCCTGAAAGAAGAAATAAGTATAACAGAAACTCAGTTTATTAAGTATATTACCGTAAATCCACCACCGACGACGACCACACGCACTTGATCATGTTTAATCATCGCTGGACTGATATTACTGAAATAAGGTTAATAGCAAACCCTTAGTGGCAACAAGTTCGTGTCACTTACCCGATTGGTACTTCCATTGTTTCGATAAACTCTGCCAATTTCTGTTTCTATGGAAGCAAGTCAATATAAAATATAAATACACAAATATATTAAACTTTTACAAGCATATCCATCACTTGTGCTTCTGTTTCTTGCAAGATAGTGACTGCATCTACACGATCGACAATAGCCCATTGAAGTGCCTGTATGTCTTGTCTGACCTTGTCTTGCGTTGTTACGTTCAATTCGAGTGGTGAACCCTTGGCTAAAAAGTTTTTATAGATTCTATGAAGGGATGCTTCCACTGCTTTTGGTGACTCCTCATGCTTTAACTGTGTCATGGCTTCAATGAATAATAAATTTTCATGAGACCAAGTCTGTCTGAGGAAACATTCGAATGCACATAATAGCTTTGGATTAGAAAGTACTTGGTGTAGAGTATAGTTATTTGAACAAGTTGATGCACCGTCGTTTAATATAGTGGATGATGATGATGATTCTGTATTGATAGATGATGATGATGAAGATGACAATGAATGCTGCGACATTATATAAAGAGGAAAGAAAGGAGTGGGGAAGGAATCTGTCAAGGATAAAAATAAGGTGGTATCTTTATATACTATTATTCTTTTTGCTTCTGTGGAGATGATAGAAACCCCGCTGTCGGAATCAAACTCATTTTTCAAGCAAAAAAAATATAATAATGCTAGGATGATATAGACGGACAACTTTTTCATTGAACTCAAATCGCATGATTATTTTAACCAATCGGATAACTCATTGTGCTACAAATCCATTTATAGGTTTACCCCCATTGTTGTTTATAATTTCATTTTATAAGCGTGTCATATGAAAAAAATAGATACTCGCTTATGTAATAATTCTATCTCTATATGTACATTTTACCAAACAGGTCTAGAGTCATGCTTGGCCATATCAATAATTCGCCATCCGTTCGTCACGGGGTTTTGAAGATCTTCTGGTTCCTTGGTTAATACACAAGCATACGTGACTTGTTCGATTAAATCCTATTGACGTGTAAGATCACCTGTTATTATATTTTGTCATTTCTTACCTCTTTGCCATAAGCTATTTCACCAGTTCTGGCATTACGGAATACAATGATCTCTTGTGTACGGAAAGATAAGACAAGGACAGGTACATCATTTTCTAAAATCTTGGCTGCAACCAATTCAATATCACGTAAATCTTGAATCTTGCAGTCACTAATTAATCCTTGTTGTACTTGAGCTTGGATCACAGCTGTCAAGACATTGTATGTCTATATAGATATACAGTAAATTATTTGATACTAAACTACATACTAGATATCTTACTGCTTCTGAGCACCAGAGCTTCAATGTATCTACATCACCCTTCAAATAAGCTTCCATCAATTCAGGAACAATATATGTACGAGCATCGACCATGAACTTGTCCATGTTGAAAGTAGGATCAATCATTTGGAAAGCACGAATGGCCTGTGCTTGATCTGATTCTTCAAAAATGGAACCTAAAGGAAAAATCAATGGATCAGTATCGTTTTCTCTCTTTTTCGTCTGATGCACTTACCAAATGCATCTGAAACACGATCAGTGAATGCACGCGTATAGGAAATAAACAAATTATCGGATTCCTCATAATTCTTTCTTGCTCTAAAGATACCTATACAACAGCAATATGTGAGCATCGTTTTTTTTAAATCTGTATTTAATAATTACCTTGCATGATAGGACTCTCTTCCTTAAACTTTGACCAACTCTCTTTCCATTTAGAATCCTTATGAAGTACCATATGTGCACCAGCCTCAGGATTCTCGGCCACTGTCTTTTGTGTCGTCTGTTGTGTCTTTTGTGCTTCTTCACGCATCTTTCTTCTCGTTTCCTTATCAACAAAACCAGTATATCTACCACTCTCATCCTTTATGACCGTCTTGAACGAATCCGAAATCTTTTCGACCGTAGGGCTCTTCTTCAAGGGCTCAGCCGTCTTGTTGATCGATTCGGCGGCTTTCTTGATTTTTTCAGATGTGTCCTTGGCAAACTCGGTTTCGGCTGCCTTCTTGAAAGATTCATTGACTTGAGAGCCTACCTTTTCGGCAGCTTTGCTAATCTTTTCTGTTGCTTGCTTTAATCGTTCAGACTGAGCTGATTGCTGTGCCTAAATGCATATGTGTCAACATTTTGTTCATTGTATATTCATTAAACATACCTTGGCCTTTTCAAGCATCTCTTTGGCTTTCTTCAAAGCATCGCTTTCAGTCAAACGACCTGATTCGTCCTGCAGTGTCTTGATATCCTTGTCTTTTTTGATTTGTTCTTTTAAAGTATCCATAAACACCTTGAATGGTGAGCTGTAGTGACGAACAGATCCACGTACAGGACGGACGATGATGTGTCGATTAGCGGCAGTAGACAGTAAGGCTCTATACATTGCTCTTTTCTTTTTTTTCCCACACGGAAATATAAAATAAAGAAAAAAAAAGTGTATGTGTGTGGTTTGCTCTGTGGCTTACTGAAGGAAACAAAGCGACAGATAATCGAGGAGGGATCCTGGCCTCAATTCATCTCCGATAAATTTCTATTGGTTATTTAATTCGCAGCAACAAGAAAGTAAAAAATGCAGGCACAGTTGTTTGTTTTTTGACGGAGTTCAACTTTGCGGCTTTATGAAAAGAGAGAGAGGGCAACACCAAATGTGTTTCAATTTCGGAAGATGCTCAGAAAGGAATTTCCATAGCAACAACATCGACTGATGTATAGGATGAGAAAAAGAAGCAGAAAAAAGTAGAATGAAACCTTTCTTATTTTTTGTATTCGGAATAGAGTAAATTACATTTATTTTATTTGAAATGGTTTACAAGTCAGAAAAAAAGTCTTCATGCTCCCTTTTATGCTTAACTTTCACGCTTGACAGGATACACAGTATCTTTTCTTAGTTTCTTTAAAGAGATTTTTCAAGATCAGATCGATCTTCTAAAAAAAGAATGCCTTCTCTAACGAAAGAGGGGCTATGTCAAGTATATCTCTTCTAATGAAATTTTTCTAAAGTTCCACAGAGCCTATGTACCTAAACAAGTGTAAGATTAGCTTATACAAGAGACGCTGATTTCTGATCGTATTGCCAATACATATACAGTCAAAGAGAATATCCAAGATGTAGATGAAAGTGAATATGATGATGATTAAGCAACTTTTGCGCATTATGGCCCTTGTGCATGTGCATGCTCTAGAGGGAATAATTATTGTTAAATATGCTACACAAATCTAGGTTCAGTTTTACACCAGTTTCACGAATGTCTATCATCTTTAACTGTTCAACCACAAAAAAAAAAAGAAATGGTTCTTTTTATATACATGTCAACATGGCCATCATGAATGTATATCCTGTTTATATAATACAATATTTACTATATATTTTTATGAAAAGAGAGCTCTATTAAACATTTGTACACTTTCCCCAGTACGACTTTACTTTTCCAAGCTTGAGATTTATTACTTTATATAGTGATTATTGCATTTTTAAAACCAACATGTTACTCTATGTCACACCCCATTAGCATAAATGTTTTAAAATATGGAAGGGTTGCACCAGATTAAGTACATTAAATAAAACAACTATTTTATTTTCATTTTTGCAGTAACTTTTTAATTTGACGACGAATGGTTTTGTTGCATGTAGTGCTTATTGTCCGATGTGATTGAACGTCCAGCGTCAAGAGAACTATCCAAAGCTGAGAAGGTTGGAGGAGGGTTATTATTATTATTAATGCTACTACTACTACTGCTGCTGCTGTTGTTATTATTATTACTATTGTTATTATTGTTGCTCGCTGAGTTATTACTATGAGGATTCGTGTTACTGCTATTGTTATGCTGTGAGCGTAAATAACCGTAATCATGAACACTTGTAGAGTGGCTGTATCTTTCAGGTTCTTTGCTATCCCAATAAGGCTTGTTCTCTTGTTGATAAACATCATTACCCTGAGGATGATCAACCGGGTTAGACTGGTTACTGTAATATCCCTCTTGTTGATGATGGTTTGGGTGCACAGACGAATAAGGGTGCATGACGTATCCGCTACGATGAGCTGGTTCATCTTCATTTCTATTTGTCATAGGGCCTCCCATCGGAGGATGAGGTGGGGGTGTATTCAGCACGGGGTTATAACCGACTAGGTAAGGGTATCCTCCACTCTGCTGAGGGTGGTAAGAAGAATAGGGGTAATCGTTGGGCATGCCGTATCTCGACGATGGTTGCTGTTGCTGTTGTTGTTGTTGCTGTTGAACATACCTTTCGTCGGGTATTGGTCCATTAGCACCTGAAGGAGGAGTGACGATGGTAGAACTTGTACTACCCGCGACGCCTTGACCAACATTGAAAGCAGGTGGCATGGGCGAAGGTATGCCAGCGTCCATGCTTCGGTATCTTGTATGGGAATCAGCATAATGACCAGGACTTCGACCACGAACAACCAAAGGAGCCGAGACACAATGAGCAACTTTAAAAGTCTTGCCTGTGGAAGTATTAGCCCAGAGCTCAATCATGATCTCGTAATACTGCTGAGCCGCTCGTCGTTTGCCATTATTGGCAGTTGCCGTCTTGAACTGCATGCGTTCAAAAGTAACAATATTGTGGTTCGAGCCAACAGAGGCCAGATGAAGGTTTCCACCTGCACTCACAACACGCGGCTCCGGCACCATCTGTGGACCCTTATCTCGCTTGGGTGTGTGCTGAACGAGTTCAATTTTTTTATCACTGCCTGACACATGAGCACTGACGCCAATTGAGAAGAAATCAACTTGATGAATCTCTTGGTTCTCTGTTCGTAACAGACACGGTACTTCAGGCCCCTGAAGCATGTAATTCGTACCATGCACGTCAAAAGTGGCACTCACTTGAAAATAATTGCGACGGTAGCAGGTCCAGTCTTGATCTGCTCGGAAAAATCCACGATCCATCTTTGCATGGATTTGAACTTGATATCTAATACAGTTGGATTACACAAAAATTAGTGTCAATATTACACAGAGAAAATTTACAACAAAAAAAATTTTGCGTTGTTTTCTTACCCGTTCGATTGATCGATATTCCACAGCTCGAGTTCTTGCTTTGTCGTACTGAATGAAGGCCCCGTTTCAAACGAGAACATCGAAGTCTCGGTTCTACGACGTCTTAGCGATGGGTTACCACCTCCGGGATAAGGGTTTGAGTGAAAGGTGGTCGTTGTGAAACTTGCTGGTCTTGAAGGAAGCGGCGGTCTTCGTCGAATGAGGTCAGGGGCGGCCGTAAGCTTATCAGGAGGTGGGCTTATAATGTCAGGTCGTGGTGTGTTGGGCTGAGAACTTGACATTAACCTTTACTTGATATCAGTCATCTCTAAAAAAGTACAGAAAAAAAAACTTACCCAGACATTGCAGGTTGCTGACTGGACATGCCAGGAAGCGCGGCCGAAGTTGGGTGTTGAGGGTAGTCGTTGCTATAGGGATAGCTAGTTTGTAAAGGCATATAATTACGAGGTGTTTCTGGGGGAGAAGTCCATTTATTCTCTTGCATATCCCTTTTTCTTTTAAAGTTACCA